ATCAATTGTAAAAACTTTGGAAGATCAATTATAATCAGTTGCTCTTCTTCTATCACCTTCTAATTTATCAGGTTCTAATAGATGCTGAACTTCAGTATAGATAAGTAAAAGTGATTCATTATAATCAACTAATCTCTTATGTTCGATAGAAAGTTTAGCTATTATTTTTTTTACCTTTTAATGCCTTTTTTACAACCTCGTTAGGAGATATAGCTATTAACCGAGTAGGAGTATTATTGTAAATATCATCATTTATATGAAGTTTCTTAACCTATACTCTGGATCTATCAGTCAAAGGCAAATGAAAATCTTCAGCATCTTGCTAAAAATAAACATGTTTTTCAAATTCTTGATGATCACATTCAGTAATAGCTACACCATATTTAGAGTTAGCATACTGAATTCTAACCTTATAACTGAGTAATAAATCTTTATATTTATCCATATATTCAGTACCTCTATTTATAATAAAATCTTTAGACAGGTTAAGAAGATCATTAGAATCATTGTAAATTTTTGAATTGCTTTAGCCATTGATGCAGAAGATTTATCAGTTAATGCAAAACTACGTCAGTATCTAGTTGCAATATCTTTGATAACACCCTTATATTTGTAAATCTGATTATCTACTTTATCATGAGACATAGGAGTAGTATCAGATTGGTGCATTTTATTTAAAAAATGAATATTATTAAAGGAGGCATACTGAATAAATTTTGGCTGAGGCTTATGAATCTAATGCAAAGCTTGCTTGTTTAGCTAATTTTTGATTTCTGTAAGAGAAAACTTATATCTAGCATTATTACAAGCCATTTGCATTTTTTTAGCAATCTGATAATATCCCTTAGATCTGTAATAAAGTTTCTGTAAAGCAAAATTCTGATCTAAGTCTTGAGCTTTCTGAGGATCAATATAAATAACTGATTCTCTCATTCCAATTTTTTATAATTATAAAAAAAAACTAGCATCTATAAAGTCAGATTCTATTCATTAATTAGGGTACTTTTTTCCTTGCGTTTCTACCTAGCTTCTATCTCCTTTTGCAAGTTCAGTGGAGTGTCAAACCTTAGGCAGATTACAAGGGGATTATCTTTCAACCTAGTAAGATCAAATACAATAAACTCATCTTTGCGTAAGTAACTGTTAATAATCATTGATGCATTTTTAACATCATCAGTATAACAACCAGCTATCTTGAACACATCTTGATAACTACTGCTTCCGTTAAATATCACTAGATAGGAGATATTGTAATGGATGACTATTGATTTTTACTACAGCATGGATATAATATTAAGAAAGGTAACCAAATTTATATTGGTTAGTTATTAGCGTATATAGTATTTCAAGCAGAAAAGGTCTTAATAAATCCACCCAAAAATTTATCAAAAATGATATTAGTTCACATCAAAAAGAGATTCAAAGAAGTTTCACTTGCATCAGTACTTATATAGTAATCGATTAGGATTGAAAATAATAATGATCTGGTCTAAACGAGAGATGCTTTACATGGTTCCTATTTATATAATTTCTATAGGTAAAAAATTGGTTACTTTTTTTTCATATATTCTATAGTTTTTTTCTGACCACAATCCATATAATTACAATAAATACTAAGGCAAGTATAGAATATATTAACATAAGCGATATCAAGAAGCTTATAATGATAGGAGTAGTTGCTGATAAAGATACTGCTTCTACGTCACTTACAGAAATTATTTAAGACAAAAGATTAGGTAGAGATGGAGTATTTACTTCATTATGTGAAGCACCTCTTGGCTCTTTTTTTGACAGTAATTCTTGAAGATGAGCATTTTTCTCCAGTAAATTTAATCATACTGAAGATAAGGAGTCTAGCTTCTATCACCCTTTCTATTACATCCAAATTATGATATGAACATTCTAGATCTATGTCTTCTAACTTACCTTCCAATTCAACTATCTTAGCTTCAAGAGAGAGAATCTTGACCTTGTTAGCAGACGAAGCTTTCTGGACTAAAGTTAGCTCTCTTTTTAGTGTTTTAATAAAAGATTTGAGTAATTTGATTTTGGCAGTATATTTAACTTCAAGCTTACGTTAACTCTCAGAATGAGATTTCTATTCAGAAATAAGTTAGAATCTAACTTTAGTACTGGACGCATTTAACTGGCTAATCTTATTTCTAATATCAGCATAGATTCGCTAAAACTCCTTTTTCTGCTTATTGTATTTATCTACTAGTTTTTCACTGAGATCATTAATCTCAGAATTAAATTCAGTAACGGATTTTAATTTTTTTTGAGCTCTTGCTCATATGCATTATCCAGCTGATAATCAGGTTTTTTATAAGAACTACCCTCTCTATCTTTTATATCATTTAATGTATGTATATTAAACATAATATTAGCATGGTTATATATTAGAAAAAAAATGCACAAATAAATTTCTAAGATAATAGACATAATCTGTTTATTTAGAATAATATATTCTTTCTATATATCTTATTTAATAAATTATTTCAGAGTATTATATTAGATATAAAAAAATATTGCTACTATATTTAGGTGACGTATAAGATATGATATCTCTTTTTTTTCACCAGCTGATTATGATTATATTATATAATATGCTGAAAAAAAGCCTAGAGATAAAGTTTTAAAAGATTTAACAGATAATTATCACATATCAAAACGTATTTATCAGATCTGGAGAGGTGAAGAAAAAAATAGAGTTGCATGAAATCAACTAATTCATATGCCAACAGCTAGTCCTGAAGGAATCGCTTCACCTTCTAATATAAATGTTGTGAGCAGGCAGACTGAATCAGAGATCCAAGGTCAAGATATTTCTCCATTTGCAAAACTGAAAAAACAAATGTGTAATGCTAAGATAGAGCCTAACAAATAAATCTATTGATTCAGTTTTGGAAGAAGGTAGAAAGGCAAAAAAGACTGAAGGGAAAAAATCGAAGTCTAAATTCGCATTAGTAGAGCTAACACCATCTCCTGTCCAGTCTTAACTGATTCTCATATCACATGAGAAGATAGCCGAAAGAAATATAAAAAATATAGCAAATATAAAGAATATATTAGAAAAATAACTTTTTTATTCTCTAAAAAGTTCATTATAGCGTGCCTGTAATCTTTCACAATACTCATTGATTTCTATATTATACTTAAGAGTACTATATAGCATTTTTTCAAGTTCTTTATAACTCACTTTTTTTTAATATATTATCATCCTCACTTAAATCCTGTAAAATACAGTCCAGGGTCAAGGATTCATCACATTCAGGAGTAGTGATCATACAATTAACTTTGAGTTTGTTCTTAACTTTGTGCATGATGACTAAAATAATTAAATCCTTACCATTATGAGAAAACTTTAATTTATCTTTGTCTCAGTCAATTGCACATTTATATTTTTTAAGAAGAGAGTTTGAAAATATTAGCATTAGCTTAGAGTATTTTACAACTATAAAATCTTCATATATAGTAAATTCAGGAGCTAAGGTTATCAGTAAATTGTGAACGACTCCAATAGATTCAACTGGCACAGTAGCAATATCACTAAGATCATGTTTTATGAATTTGTTGATTTCATATCCTATGCACTTAACAATATTAGGTATTCTAATAGGAAGTTCAGCATAAGAGTCCAGTGCTATAGCTGGAATTTTAAGATGCTCAATCTTGTATTTTATAGATATAATGCTTGTAGTGGGCTCTTTCTTTTTAATGAAATCTATCTTCATGGGTCCATCCAAAATATCCTCTTCATCTAAATCTTGAGCTAAGGCAGGTACACACTTTTTAACCTGCTGAATTATATACGGAAGACAATTCTCAAATTCGATCTGAATGATTTTACGAATAATTTTTTCTAAAGATACATACTTACCATAACTATCTTTATCTGATGAGGCATTATGGGCAGAAGATAAATTATTGTCTTACTTTACCTTATAAAGCTCAGATTTACTAGAGACCTTAGACTCTAAGGATTTATCAGAATATTCACGTTGTTCAGCATAATTCACTTTTTTTTCCATTTCTATGACTAATGTAAATATTTATATTACGATTTCTGAAGTCTGAACTGGCTGACGAATTATCAGAGTTATAATCATTGTCCTCAGATTTTAATGTATTATCATCAGAAAAATGGGATTAGTCTATTCATCTACTGTAACCATATGAACTTGACCACTTATAGATTTAAAATCTTTAGCGAGTTTAGCCAATAAGGCTTTAATTTACCCTAATCTTTTTTCTAATCCTCTAAAAGGTGAGGACTCTGAGCGTTCATGCTGAGGTGTTTTAGCATCTCTGGTATCTTTTCTAGCAAATTTAGCTAAGTGGACTTCAATTCGTTCTAATCTTTTTTCTAATCCTCCATTATTATGGTCTGAAAATTCTGAATACTGATACTGAGCTGATTTGATATCTTCTTTTACGAGTTTGGTGAGTTTGGCTAAATTAATTTCGATTACTCCTAATCTTTTTTCCAATTCTTGATTAATATAACTATCAAAGATTGAAGCATTATTCAAATTAACTACATTTTCTAGTAGCTGTAAACATTAGGTAAGTTTAGAATACACCTGCATTGATTCTGCTAACTGTACCTCCAAAAAAGCTATTTTAGAATTTAATTTTTCAGAATCAGCTAAAGTAGCTCTCTGATAATTAATTTGAAATTAGATTTGATTTTGGGAAAACATATTTAGTCTAACTTGACATTCTACCCAACATTTCCTGAGATTAGCAAAGAAATTATCCACAGTTTGGTTACCAACGCCTCTTATAATCATATAAATTTTCACACTATTATGAAAATCCAGAGGTAAATGAGTATATAATGCTAGTAATATCTGATCATCTGCAAAACCTACTATATATTTTCAGATTCTAGATTCGTAAATATCAAGAGAATCAATTAGGTTAAACTTTTTTTGTATCAGTGATTGTAAAACTAATTCTGCATTTTCAACCATCACTTCTCGATATTTATGCTGAAGCTAAACCATAAATGTAGTGGGTAAATTAATAGCAGGATTATCACTTTTATAGAGATTATTTACTGGTACTGGAAAAAATTTATCTCTCATTTTAGATTTTAAGATATCACATTTCTGAACATCAATAAAAATGTTTGCATTAGCATTATTAGCGGCCGTGATTATAGCACCAGCAGATTCAAAAATATTTGTAATTTTTTGTATATACTTATCTGGCGTTTCTTTACCTGTATAGTTAGAAACTTGTCTAAGATCTGGAGCTAACATTTGATAAATTTCATGAATGGTGACCATGTTTCGTAAAGGATTATTTTGTAATGCTAATATTTGTTGTTGTAAATTAAAAATATTTTGGTTCTGAGCCTGTATCTGATTTTATGAGTTCCTATAACATTCCTTCTATTTTAAATGTCAATTTTGCAAATCTGCATATGTTCTTTTTTATCTTTTTATGTCATTATTATATCTTAAAGTCCACCTATATGCAGTTTTCCTATGCTTAGCAATTTGAGTATTTTTATACTGAATCAATAATTAGAAAGTAAAATATTCCAGTAACAATTTACTAATATTCCTATCTTTATCTTGATATAAAAAATACCAATAGCAGGATTCTTTTTTCTCATTATTACAGTAGCGGTCATAAGTATCTGATCGCTTCTAACTCTGACTATAAGTAAGGAAATTCAAATTTTTTTTTATTTAAAAAATACATAATCAACTAACTAAAATTAATACATTGTGTAGTTACTATCTAACTCTATAAATGCAACTGTACGCCTTTTCATGCTAGCTACCAAATTCATAGCAAGTATAGGTAATAATTAGTTCCATTCTTTTATAAGTTCCCCTTTAACCCTCTAATTAATCGAATTTTTTTTTTGTATATTAATTTTCATTAACCTTCAAATGTTTTCTATAGGGTTTTGGTCTGGAGACATTGATGGCCAAGAAAGTACCTCAATGCCATTTTCTTCCTTCCATTTTTTCATGATTTTCGATCAATGCTTTGGATTATTATCTTTTTGCAAGATCTAATTTATATTATCTTCACTAAAAAGTTTAGAGGTGAAAGTTAAAAGACCCTGCTTATAAATAGTATACATAAATTCAGCATTAAGGTTCCTTTGAAAGCAAAATAGCTTACCAAATCCAGAAGCAGAAAAACATGAACTTTTGGTGAATGCTTAATAGAATAAAACACTTTTTTTCTATCAGAAAACTGCTAAACCTTTTTTTTGATGTATATAATTGAAATGTACTCTCATCTGTAAAAACAACTCGATTCCAATCAAAATTCTTATTTTTTTTGCCCATTATAACCTTTTCTTTCAATGGTTTTCTTTAAGCAAAGGTTTAGAAATTTCATTACTAAACTTTTCTCCAGACTTATAAAGATGTCACCTTATTGTTTCTACACTAAATTCAACACCTCTTTCTTCCATTTTTTCTTATATTTAAATGGCTATTATATTATGTTCTTTCTCTGCCATCTTTACAATCTTATAATCTTGTTTCGCAGATATTATACAAGACCATCCTGATTTTTCTAAAGTACTTAGGTCCTGATTTTTATGATATCTTTTAACCCAATAAATAGTTGTAGACTTACTACAATGTACCTATTTAATAATAAATCCAAAACTAAACTTTGGACCAGCTAGATGCTCATGTAAAAAAACAATTTCATATCGTTTCTCTAAAGAAAGTTCTATTTTTCAAGTGAAAGTTTGATGATCATCTAAATTTTTTTTTTGTATCATTGATACTTATAAATTTACAGGTAATCATATATTGTATTACATTATATTTCTGGAAAATTTAAGGGGTAATTATATAATAATTTTGGACGATCTCAAGCAATCAGATACTTATGATACTACTGTATAAGCCAGAATAGCCATATCCCGCTCTCTCTAAGTATTGTCTCTTTTTCTTATAGTTCTTTTAACCTGAACTCAGGATTCATCTAATAAACATTATAATCATAAATTCTGATTTTTACTATCAATAAACTTATTCCTAAGATTATTTACTTGCTAGATTGAATCATGTAATAAGTTCTGATATTGATCATGCTTAGCTGTAATGTTTTGTAAAGTAACCTGAATAGTATTTAATGAGCCTCTGATTTCATCTATAATATTGGCAGGATTTTACATAGGCATATCAAATACCTCTAATATGATTTTCTATCTACTCTAGTCCTCTATTAACATTTGCAATAAGATTAGTTGTTGCTATATCTAAAGCATTTATTGAGATTTTTTATTTATGAGAATCTAGATTCTTGCTTTAAGACGTTCTACCTTATTTTCAAGCTCTATAATTTAGCCATCTTGAATAGACCCAACCTTATCTTTGAATTTTTTATCTTGTTGTAAGATCCTAAGCTGTTTTCATAAATCAGATATTTTTAATTTAAATTTCTCTATCACTTTCTCATAGACTATGATAGTATTATCCTGTAATGAAATAATTAGATAACATTGCTCAAGCTCCTTTACAAGGAATTGAATTTTTTTCTCATAACTTTTATTAATAAAAATCTCATCTCAAAGTTCATTACGAAGCTTCTGATTCATATCTAAAAACTGTAAATATACTGGATTACATGAAAGTATAAGCATAGTATTTTCAATCTGATTTAAAGAGCTTCATATAATCATAATCTAAGAATGAGTCAATCACAGATTATAATAGATCCTAATGAAGAGCTTCGTATAGTATATAAACTTTTGTATTATAATATTCCTGGATTTTATCTAAATGTTAAGGAATTGCAAAAAAAATGTCAAGATTAAGGATTTTAAAGTTTTCAATTATGGGATATTGCAAAGTGGTTAGAGTATTAATATAGTTATCAAATTTATCAATACTTATTACCTTGTAAAGCTGAGGCGAGTTTTTCAAAAATTAAAATTCTAAACAAAGTCCATCAATACGATATATTGCTCTATACCTATGATTAAGATGGTAGGAAGGTATTCTTTGTAGTTTTTTAATCATAGATATGGCAACACATTTTAAGGATAGATGTTCATTAATATTAAGAAATAGCTTAGAAATCTGAAATGCAGTTAAAGAAATATATGAAGACTCTTCTAATCCTCTTACATAGCCAGAATTATTAATGATTGATGGTGATACTTCATTCTGAGATGTATTTTCATAAAGGATACAATAATATAATATCACTATATATGTTGTCAACCTTTATAGTTTTGAGAGTTTGGCTTTCATTAAAGCATTTAAGAAAATATAGCATAATTAACATATAAGATTCAATATATTATAGAGAAATGATTAACCGATGGGGAGCGATCAAGGATATTTAGAAGAATCCTCAAGAAGTATATTAATTATCTGAATAACAATAAGACTCACCTTATTGGAATGTCACCAGCTCATGCTATGATTTTGGAAGAAGTTGAATCAAAGCCTTCTAAAAAACCTAAGCGTGTAATTAAAAAAGATGAAGAGATAAAATTACAAAAAGATACAGCAGTTAGATATCTTTTAAAAGCAGGCGAGTTGAAAGGAGACCATAGACATAGAGCAACTGACTCATACTGAAGCTTGCGTATTTATAGAATAAAAAGAGTTATTGTCAGAAGAAATCCACTGTAACTAGTCTTATATTATCTCAAGGGTGAACCCATTAAATCAATTACCTATCTAATAAGATGAAATCTAAAAAGACCCTTTAAATATAAGAAACTTCAAGTAATTGAGGAACCTGATAAAATCGAGTATCCACCTGATAGATTTATGCGAAAATATCATCCTACTGGATTCGTCTATTATAGTATATTCAAATTGCTAATGATAATTTAATTGAAGCTTATCAATATACTAAAAAACGTAGTGGCAAATATCTAGGAAGAACTAGATGAGTAAATGGTTATAATATTTATCTTTTATCCTATGAAAATAATGCATATCAATAGAAGTATCCATTAAAATACATCATGAAAAAATTTGAATGGTGTCCTCTATACTACCACACTATTAAAAGAAATATACGTTACATTTTTAAGGATCTTTTAGGTAAGAAATTCCTACCATGTAGGCTTATTTTTTTGGATAAAATGCATCTTGATAGGTATAATGAGGAATTGCATCTTGCATTCAAATACCAGAAATTCTAGCACTATTAATACAATAGCTTATACTATCAAAAGAGCGAAAGTTTAGAAACTTAGAGAATGCGTGATCAGAAAAAGCAGAATATATGTAAAAAATAAAGTATATGCCTTATCGAAGTTTCATATACTGCTGATCTTCTGTCTTATATCAGACATACTCTAATCAAGAAAGGATTCTTGAAAGAGATGAAGAATTAAAAGGAATTATTTTTAGTACATTATTAATAATACTCTATTTGACATGAAAATAAATAAACCTAAGCCAGTTGATAGGCTTGTATATCATATTAATGAGATTAAAAATGCCAAAAAATATAATAGATATTCAAGTGTTTCCCAATAGCTTTTTACTTTACTAATTGGTGACCGTACTAATTCAGAGAAGACTAATGAGGTTCTCAATCTCATACTTGAAAATAAGCTTTATCGAATGTTTAATGGGAAAAAAAGAGAGACACATTATATCAAAAATGATGATTTGCTATTAATTGGCCACAATCTTAAGGAGCTGAAATATATGTATCTTAAATTAGCATATCAAATAATTGCAAATAGTCCAAAGCCCTATTGTGAAAATATTACATTCTGAGCTTTGAAGCCTAATAAAATCCCTAAAGTAGATTCGTTTTCTTCAGACAGGGTTACAGAACCCATATTTAAAAATGTATGCACTAACCTGAAAAAAGTGCAAGAGAAGATCATTCCTTATTTTGTTAAGAGCGTTACTATAATGTCAATTCGATATATATATCTCATAATTATCTAAAGATAATATGAAAAAATCTCACACATGTCTGCATATTTAATGGATTCTGTATTACGAATGAGCTAGTCAGAATTGTGTATCAATATGCTAATGACTTGCGTAATATGATTAAGATTATTGATAAGACTTTATATGAACATAAATTCATTATTTTTGAATTAACTGTACCCCGCGAGCATCTGCACAGGATACGTGTCAGTTAGGATCAAATTTTCACTAATGAATAGAATTAGACTTCATAAATGCCAGCTCTTTTTCCTCAAAACTATTGAGTAAAACAAAATGTATATTTTTTCCTAGTTTCTAGATCATGTTCAGATTCATTACATCTCTTTGTCCATAATTTTCTTTCA